AGAGAGGATCTCGAGCAGTGAAATTGCAGACAATCGCGAGATAGAAACGTAAGTTGAAATTTTATCAACGCGATACTTGTTTATATTTTGTGTAATCGTGTCATGGAAGATGCTTCTTTGATTTTCAATGTTCGAAACGAGTCTCGAAGTTCGAATGTAATTTAGCGACTAGGAGCAGGAATGCAGGAAACAACAGAGGGAGAATAGATTTTTTGTTGAGAACAGTTTGGAATGAATTCATTACTTTTTTTAGAATATTGTTTGGAATAATTGTATATTGTTGGCAGATTTAACATAAGTGGAGATTAAAGATTAATGAAGATAGAACTTTTTTGCTATTATTATTGCTATATCATATTATTATTATATTGTTTTATATTATTATGTTATGTTACATGGTATCTTTTGTTCTCTATTTACTATAAACTGCTATAAAACTGAAATTTTTTATTCCTTTCATTTTAAAATTTAAATATTATTTTAACAAATTATTATATGTTTAGTAGTGTTATTTTATTTCTCTCAACTCAATTAATAATAATTTAGACTTTTGTTAAATTAAAGTTTATCTTTATAATTCAAATTTTTATTACTGATGTCTTTATAATTTGAAGTAATTATATTATATCTTATCAATATTGATTATTTAATTAATTGTTTTCTTTAGTATTAGTATTATTTGAATTAATCAAAAATAAAAAATGAATTTTTTTATCTTTTTAAGCCCTTGAATATAATTTTTTCATTCATAATTTTCATCTTCTTTTAAGAAATCATTGTTAAAATAGATATCTGTACTAAAAAAATTATGAGAGAAAAATCATCCCTTAAATTTTGAGACAATTGTCCAATTTAGAAGAAAAGCAATATCTATTAAATAATTAATTTTATATATTAATTTTTTTTAACAAAATATAAAAAGTTCGTTTTACATTTTTCTGCAATTATTATGTTTATAATTATCATATTTACTTCACTTACTTGACAGAAAAATTAAGAAAAAAAAATTAATAGTTTATAAATTTATATTTATTTTTCCGAAATGAATAAGTTGAAATTAGAAATAATAAATGAAGTAAGGATGAAGAATATAAAATTTCTTAACTTTTGTCAATAAATATACACGTACACGTTTAAGGGATTAAATACATTTTAAAGATTCATCTAATAATTCTTTCATCGAACGTTACTCTTTTTACGATATTTTAAAATAACTCTCTTGGGTAGTTTTTAGCTTTAACTTCCTTTTAATCTTTCATTCAATACTGTTCTACAAAAGATGGAAAAATGTGGAACGGCGGGAGACAGCGGTTAAATCGCGTTAAAACTTCCTAAAGAATCGTTGGATCTTTTACATAGAAGAAAAGAGTTTTCCAAGTTTTACTAATTTTTAATGTGAAAGTTACACGTTCAAAAATAATAGAATGAGAAAGCAATATCTTTATGATAGATCAAATATTTATAAATTTATATCAAATTCAATACAAAAGATTCCTTTATATAGGATTCCAATAATATATATTACTTATAAGATATAATAATTGATCGAATCAATAAGATGGATCATCTTCTTTAACCTATCTTGACTTTTATGTCTCTTAGAAATTGTTCTTTTTCATAATACATATAAAAATTTCGATAGTTATTTCATTTTTAAAAATTATTAAAAACAGAAAAAGGAATTTTAAATCTATTTCGATTAATTACGATCAAAAGTACTTTATTTTATTTTTCGAAATACTTGTAGACGGTTGTTTCATTCGAGATTCGAGTCTACTTGAAAGTAGTGTTCCTTTTTTTTTTTCGAGATATTTATAGAGGATACGGATCCAGTCCATTAATGTACGAACTTACTTGCAATATATGTACTTGATCCCATCACCAACTTTTACCCCTTATATGTGCGTGGTTTGTTCTATTTTCACATTAAAGTATTTTTAGAAATATCGACTTGTAAGTACTTGCACATATGTTAAACTTTATCGAATTTAATGATTGTGCGAATATTAGATATGTTAATTTTTTTTCGTTGAACGAATAAAAAAATTTCGCAACAACGAGGAAAATAATTGCTCAAGTTGAGTAACTTTTCCTAATTTTTACTATATTTTACGATATCAGATTTCTCTTTTAAAAAATTTCATTTTATCGTTAAAGAAGAAATTAATACTTGAGTTTGAAAAAAAAAACGATAATTTATTTTTATTTTTATTATTCGTTTCTCATGAAATGTTTGACATAAAACGTTTTATATATTTATCGATTATTACTCCTCCACGGAAAAACGTTTAATATAAAATGCGAGAAGAGTTGTGGTCGATTTCTTTATAGCTATATATATGAAACAAATATCATACTTTGAAATGTGACTTTCAAAAAGGATATTGCTTTAGTGCAAATAAGTCTTCGATTGACAGTAATCGGCCATTAATGCAATAACCAGATATAGAGTACTTAGACGAAGGTTTTTATTTAATTTTTATTTGAATTTCACGATCATGTATATTATATATGATATTGTATATGTATAAATATATGATTAAACATGATATATATTTCTTCAAATGATAAATTTTTGACATTAAGTGAATTAAATGAATAATTCATATTGAATAAATTTTAAAGTCACGTCACATTTTATTTTTGCAACATTGGCAAATTAGCATAATATATATTTTTATAAATTAAAAATTATAAAAAGTACATTAGATTTTCGAACTCCTCTAATTCAATTATAATTTTAGCGATAAAATTAAAATTTTTAGAAAATTAAAATTAAATATTTACGAATAAAAAATTGAATTTTTTATTATTATTATAATTATATATTATATTTATAATTATTTAATCTGATGATTTTGATTCGATCGAAATTTTTCAATATCATTGCGCAAAAGAAGAGAAGAGAGAATTCGAAGAAAGAGAAAAAAGAATCATGGAAAAAATAGGAAAGAAAGTTATAATCCATGAATCGAGAAAAATCGCTGACTTATATACTTAACTTAATAAAAAAATTATATTACTTAATCTCTGATTTCGATTTCAAAGATGTGCATTGAAAAGAAGAAGAAGAAGAAAAAAAAGAAAATTCGAAGAAAGGGAAAAAATTGAAAATTGGAAAGGAAATTATAGAGAAAATAATGAAAAGAAAGTTTTTTTAATCCAATATAAACTGGAAATTGAGAAAAGTAACTAACCTATTCATTTATCAACAAAAAATTGCATCATTTAATCCCAGATTGTGACTTCAAACTTATCGTAAAATCGAAACGAAATTGTATTTGAAAAGAAGAAAAAAGAGAGTTCGAGAAAAGAGAAAAATTGGATCGAGTATCATAGAAATAATATTAAAAAAATATATTCAGCGTGAATTAAAACAAATCACTCTACACACTTACCAACAAAAAATTTGCATTTACCGAAATCATTTAATCCCCTTTAATTCTGATTTCAAACTTGCGTAGCATTTTATCGAAAAAAAAAAGACAGAAAAAAAAAAGAAGAAGAAAAAGAAAAAAAGAAAATTCGAAGAAGAAAAAAATGTAAAGAATATCAGAGAGAAAATATTGAAAAGGATATATAACGCGGCGTGAACCGCGAATGCGTGAAAATAATCTTTATCCTTTCGGCGGGGATCCGGTTCGGAAGCTGAACCGGAATCCAGGAACGGGGAAGGGGATGAAAACGGGGATGGGGATGCGCATGTACGCGACAGGGGAGCGGAATAAACTCCGTGCGGACGCGCTCACATCGCGGCGCACAGTCTTCCCGATAGCACACGTCCGTACGCAGCTCCCTCCCTCGCCAAAAACCTTCGACTCGACTTCGGCTTACTCGATTCTCACTGATCCACCGCTCTTTTCCACCAACTTTCCACTCTCGTTACACTTACGTCTCGAGACATGGCAACCGGTTGAATACGCGCGGTTCAACGTTCCTTTCGGTGCTTTCGTCGTATTCGTTCACGACGAATTCGACTCG